TGCGCAATGGATACATTGACTTGCCCTTCGCTAAGCATCAGCTCCACGTGACCCAGCCCATCTCCCAAGCGAGAGAAAAGGAGTAGCCCTGTGAGGTCCCAGGTGCGGAAGCGAAAAGAGACCGCTAAGCGGCCACGGCGCGGAAAACCAGGCACTTGGACGAAGTTGTGAGGGCCTCCAAAGTTGATGGGGTGTGGAACCGGATCCAAGCAACGGAAAGCCACATTACCCTAGAAGGGAAAGGATGGGTGCATCAGGACAGGGAGGCCTGGTACTTGCTGTTAATATTCTCACTGGTAAGACCTCCAGCCGTGAACTTTCCATCCCTCGCAAATAGGTCCATGTTTGTGGAAGGGGCCCAAACAAGCCTGCCCTCGGGATTCTGCTCCTTTGCTTGCTTTTTACCACCTATCCCACTATCTGCAAAGCAAAAAATTTTCCCTCTCATAGTGCTAAGGGCAATTTAGCCCAGAGGCTGTGGAGCATGCGCACATGCTCCAGAGTTGACCATAGAGAACAGTTTATCAAAAGACTTCCAGTTTGGGCCTGGAGAGATGATGGCTCAGAGGTTAAGAGCACCAACTGCTCTTCCAGAAGTCCTGAGTTCAATTCCCAGCACCCACATGGTGGCTCACAACCATCTGTAGTGAGGTCTGGCTCCCTCTTCTGTATACATAATAAATAAATAAATCTAAAAAAAAAAAAAAAACGTCCAGTTCAAGTCACTACACTGTCACTTTGGAGTCACATGCTCCTGGTTAAACATCTCCCAGCCTCTGCACCTGATTTCCCTCATCTGCTAACTCATGAGAGGACTGGACCGATTCACAGCTTCTTTCTCACAGAGATCCGCCTGCCTCTGCCTCCTGAATGCTGGGATTAAAGGCGTGCGCCACCACCGGCAGGTTACAGCTTCTTAACTAAGGGGTGAATGGAACTTACATCTCCTCCCAGTCCTTGGTACTCACGCCACCAAAAAAACCCCAACCCCCTAACCAAAAACCACCTGAGAATGTGACTATTGAGAATGGATCTCCTCCCAAACCTCTTTCCTCTCCCTCTCTTAGCTTTGTAAGTGGCTTTAGTGTTTCTGTCTTCCCAGATCCCCCTGCCCACTAGCCTCGAAGGTGATTCGCGAATGGCGCATCACTGCCAGTTCTGCGATGTTGATCCGGTTGTAGATCACGTTTTCTATGCAGCCACGGAAGTTATGCCGGTAGGCCAGGTTCTTACGCGCTGCGCCCACCAGACCCCCGATGAATATCTGTGGGAAGCAGGTGAAAAGAGGTTTCCCTGTGCTTAAGGGAGTGCCTACCTTTCCCGGGTGCATGCACAGTAAGTACCCTTTCCTCGGTACTAGGCCCGGCTTCAGAAAGACTTGGAACACATTTCCCTAGGGTGAGTGCTAAAGCTTGCACTTAGATTTGAGCCTAGTTGGCTGGCTGTAAGCCTTCGGCAGGTCAAATTGTCTGTCTTAGACACTTAAAATGCAGATGGTGACAGGGTCTTTATCAACTGCATAGAATTGTGGGACGAGGCTAGGGGACAATTTTCTACTTGTCTTGATCCCCCCCATCTGGATTTCTAGACCCATCATAGTAGATCTGCAGTGAGGACCAGAACAATGACAAGAAAAGCCTTTCTGGCATGCAGAGGGTGGAATGAGGAGTGGATTCCCCCACACACACTTATCCATTGTCACACCCAAAAGTGGTACCCCATTGGTCACCTCATTGTCCAGATTCAGCCTCTCGAAGTCGCCATTGAGCACAAAGCGATGGACGTAGCCATCCAGGGTGAGATTTGCTTCCCGGCCATATCGGTCCACCCGCACATAGTGCCAGCTCAGGTCGTTAAGGACGCCGCCAGCACTCACCGTGGTGTGACCAGGTCTTGGCTGGATGGGGCTGCTGCCTGAGGGCAGGGCAGGACAGAGTGAGAACTCCAGCAGGCCTTAGCTCCCAAGGCAGCAGCAGCTCCCAACACAGAGTACCCAGTCAAAGCCTGGAGTAGAGAAGTGGCCGTTGACCAGTGTGCAGCTACTTTAACCTCTCTGGGCTTCTTTGGCTATCTGAAAAAATCTGAGTAGGATAGCTGCGTGTATCTCATCACACAGGTGTTATGAAAAGCAAATGAGATACAAAATGATTTTGTGTGTGTTTATGATGCCTTGTTCAAGGTCACACAGTTGGTCAGCCGAATCCAGTTCTCTTGACTTAAAGCCCTCTGTTTTGCTAGCACCAAGCGCTACAGAAGGGGAAGCCCAGGCTTAGGCAGGGCAGCACTCTGGGGTCCCGAAGCTCACCCAGGCTCATGTGCAGCAGCAGGTGCGCCCCCTGCAGTTCAAGCGTCACGTAATCCCCCTGGGCACCCTCAGTGTGCAGCAGCAGTCCATCCTTCTCCTCTGTCTTGAAACTAAAAGCGAACACGTCCCAAAGACTTTGGCTGACCCCTCTCGGGAAGCGGTACGAGATGGCATCATCGCCGTCGAAATACAGTATGTCGGACTCTGCGCGAAGGACCGTGGGTGGGCGGGGGACCTGGGAGACCAGGTTCCTTGCCCCCACTCCCGACCTCCACACCCTTACTGTAGGGACAGCCGTAGATGCCCAGCCGCAGGCCGATCTTGCCGCGCGGGTTCCAGGCCAATGGCACGATGCGGATGTAGCGAGCGGTGAAGTGGTAGTGCAGGTCATGGCGTACCACAGCCGACTCATTAACGTTACCGAAGAAGGTCTGCGGGGTGGGGATGGGGGGGTTGGGAAAAGTCGTGACCATGTCTCCACCCTCTTCTTCCCTCGCGGTGATGGCTTTCAAACCTTGCCAATCTTGACTGGAGCGGGAACGGGAGTTCACTCCACCTCCCCTACCTCCACGATTGTACACGGACTAATTTCCCTGGTCTAGAGTGTCCTATTATTTTTTTTTTCCAAAGCGAAAATCTAATGCCACCACCTGCAGGAAGCTCTCCTAGGTTTTACCCTAAAATATGTTAAAGCTTATAATTGGCGAGAAACAGTCTGAGCTGGACTGGATCCCAAGAGTAGTTTTCCTCACCTGTGCCTCATGCTGTTCCCTCCCCTTCCCTTCAGGCTAGTGCCCAGCCCGGGGCCCAGAGCAGGGGAGGCTCCCCAAGTGTGTGCGCCTGGGCACCGAGAGTACCGCGTTGTGCCCTTGTTGGTAGAACGGTGTCCAGCTGTCCACACGGTCCCCGTAGAGCAGCATATAACGCGTGACCCAATCCCAAGAATTAAAAGCTCCCTGTGTGGCCACAGCCCGGATCCGATGCTTCTTCATTAAGTCTATCTGGAGCCAGGGATTCGGGTCCCCAATCCGGGGCGACCATCCACTGATGCCTGCAGAAAGGGCAAGGGCTTTTACCACCCACTCTCTTCTCTCAGCTCTCTGGAGTCCTCCTCCCGCCCCTGGTTGGGCAAGCTCACCGTGCAGCCGGGCAAAGCGGGCTGTGGTAAAGAGCCCATAGTAGGAGGAGGCGCCCAGGGACCGCGCATAGAGAGGCCCCACCAGCTCCTCATTGCAGCCATCTGTGTGTGGGGAGGACGGCGAGCTTGTTAGTATGGCCCCTCTTCTCAACGTGGTCCCTCTTAGCAGTTGAAGCTCCTCTTCACTGCCCCCTAGTGGCAGACTCAGCCCTACCTTAAAGGTGTGCCCTCAACCCAGGCTTCAGCAACAGCTGCTCCGGCAGCGGAGCTTGCCTTCTCCTCCTAGGGGTAACTCTTTGCCTCAATCTACAGATCCAAAGCCGGATCCTCCCTTCCCCTTTCTGCCCTGGCTCAGTACTCCTCTAAACACAATCCCCAAACTTCACCGTATTTAAGAACCTAAATGGGCCCCAGAACACCAAATTAACCCCAGCCTTACCATCAATTCCATTCATCAGCCCTCCCCCACCAAAACATGCACCAATCCCCAAATAAGGCTTTGCTCCCAATCCAGCCACTTCCCGATCCCGGTCTTAGCATCATCCTTGGCCTTAGTCAGGGTCACCAACTCCTGTTTGTATTCTAGCCATAAAACCCAGCCCCAGCCACAAACCCTACCTAGTGCCTGGGTCAGCTCCAAATACCAGCCCAGCCCCTCAGGGGAAAACCTCAACTCTAGCCTGGGTCACCAGTAGCGCACTTATAGCCAACCCTAACCTCAAACCCAGGCACTGGCTGCCGCTTGGATTAACAGCTCCAAATCCCCTGGGCTGACTGGTTCCTCGGCTCAGAGCCCAGCCCCAGCCCTGGGCGCGCGCGCAGCAGTCTCGGAGCTGCATTGCGGAGCGCTGGGGGAGAGGCAGGAAAAGATGGAGCGAGCCGGCGCCAGAGGACCGGCGACCACCCAGCCGCAATGCGGCGCGGGACTCGCCCTGCAAGCTCTGGACCCCTGCACCCAAACCCCACCTGCCTCTGAGACCAGCACTCACAGTAGCCCCAGCCCCGAGCTCCAGGGACCACAGCGGCGAGCAGGATGCTGAAGAGCCGGAGGAGACTCATCATGCAGAGCTGACCAGCCCTGGGTGTCTGCCTTGCTGAGCCCTGCTCCTGCTAGGGCTCCAGTTCTGGCTCAGGCCCCCAGCTTTTCTCCAGGGGTTCGCGGCCGACCGCTGTTTCTTCGTCCTTACCCACCCTTCCCTCTCTCCTAACCCCCCAATCTCTCTCTCTCTCTCTCTCTCTCTCTCTCTCTCTCTCTCTCTCTCTCTCTCTCTCTCTCTCTCTCTCTCTCTCTCTCTCTCTCTCCCTCTCTCTCCTCTCCTCTCCTCTCCTCTCCTCTCCTCTCCTCTCCTCTCCTCTCCTCTCCTCTCTCCTCCCTTTCTCCGCCCCCTTCCCCAGCCTCTCTCTCCTGGCACGCGCGTTTTCCCGGACCCCGCGCAAGCGCGTGCCTCAGCCCTATTTCGAAAGGGCGGGGTAGACAACCTGCCACCGGGAAATACCCCCAAGTAACCCAAGGCTGACAAGGACTGGGGCTGCAGAATGGCAAAAAGAGAAGTGTGTGGTGGTGGGGGGGGGGGAAGACCAGATGGAGTCTAACATTTTCCAGGGGAGGGAAGAGCTTCGAAAAAGGACGCCTAGAGATGGAATGAAGGGCAAATAGAAAGAGGTTTTCTGAAGGTAGATAACGTTCCTGGCTCAGTGCTGGACACCTTCGTAACTGTGAATTCGGCATTTTCATCCTACTCCACCTTGCACATGGAAAGCCCGAGGCTCAGAGAGGAAAACAAATCTCATTCAAGATCGTACAGCCATTCTTTTTCCCATTGGCAGGGATGAGACAGAAAGCAGGCAAGGTGGAATGGAAAAGTTAACCCGCAGACCCTAATCTCCACCCTCCTTCTTGGCCTTTCTCCCCACCCCTTCCTTCCTGCCCCACTAGTTATTTAACTTTGCCCCCTGTGGCTGTACCTGAAACACCCTTGTAGCCAGAGATGGGGACCGAGCCCACAGAGCAGGTGGGAGTTGGGGCAGGGAGGGGAGAGGGTTGCAGAGAGGGTGGGGAAGCGGGGAGGAATGGGTTTCCCCACCTAACACCAGGCCTCTGTCATCCTATGGCTTATGCGGGAGCCTATAAAACTTCCTTAAGACCCTCTGGGTATGCGTGTTTTCAGCATGCCCGCGATGGACCTGGCGGTAGGGTGGGAAGGAGAGAAGAGAAAGGAGACAGAGAGCCTAAGCTTGAAGTCTAGGGTCCAAGGCTGAAGCAAAGCCTGCACCTGACCTTCTTTCCAGAAGAGGGCACTGCGAAGGGAACAGAAGCAGCCAAGATTTATTAATAATACAAATGCTTGGTCTAAGGCGAGCTAGATGTTTCCACTGTCTATTATCGTCCATCTTTTCTACAGTCCTCCCTGCAAACCTTGCCAGGCGGCCTCGGTAGGACTCTAGAATGGGCATAACACATTAAGTAACGGAGGTCCAGAAAGAGCAAGTGGCCGCTCAAGGTCACCCAGGAATCTGGAAGCAGAGCCAGTGCAAGGGAAGCAACTGCCTTCTCAGGGTACCCTAGAAAGAATTTTTTTTTGGTGGGGGTAGGCGTCTATCTTCTCCTGTGTTTGGGCTTCGAGTGAGGAACTCCTGCGTGAACGGGAGTGGTGTAGGAATGTCTTCCATGGTCCCTCCTCTCGTTTGATGTCACAGGTCTCCTGGGAACCCTACTCCGGGTACGATGAAGAGGCTTACTCGGCTGGGCCATTGCCGGAACTCTGTTACAAGGCGGATGTCCAGGCTTTTAGTCGGGCCTTCCAACCCAGTGTCTCCCTGATGGTGGCTGTGCTGGGTCTGGCGGGCAATGGCCTAGTCTTGGCCACCCATCTGGCAGCCCGACGAACTACCCGATCTCCCACCTCCGTCCACCTGCTCCAGTTGGCTCTGGCTGACCTCCTATTGGCCCTGACCTTGCCCTTTGCAGCAGCAGGGGCTCTTCAGGGCTGGAATCTAGGAGGTGCCACCTGCCGAGCCATCTCAGGTCTCTACTCGGCTTCCTTCCACGCAGGCTTCCTCTTCCTAGCCTGTATCAGCGCGGACCGCTATGTGGCCATCGCTCGAGCTCTCCCAGCCGGGCAGCGACCCTCCGCACCCGGCCGTGCGCACTTGGTCTCTGTCTTCGTGTGGCTGTTGTCGCTGCTCCTGGCCCTACCTGCGCTCCTTTTCAGCCGGGACGGGCCGCGGGAAGGCCAACGGCGCTGTCGCCTCATCTTCCCCGAAGGCCTCACGCAGACTGTGAAGGGGGCAAGTGCTGTGGCGCAGGTGGTCCTGGGCTTCGCGCTGCCACTGGGCGTCATGGCAGCCTGTTATGCGCTCCTGGGCCGCACGCTTCTGGCCGCCAGGGGGCCAGAGCGGCGGCGCGCACTGCGCGTTGTGGTGGCCTTGGTGGCCGCCTTTGTGGTGTTGCAACTGCCCTACAGCCTCGCCCTGCTGCTGGATACAGCCGATCTACTGGCAGCCCGCGAGCGGAGCTGCTCCTCCAGCAAGCGCAAGGATCTAGCTCTGCTGGTCACCGGCGGCTTGGCGCTGGTCCGCTGCAGCCTCAATCCGGTGCTTTATGCTTTTTTGGGCCTGCGTTTCCGCCAGGACCTGCGGAGGCTGCTACAGGGTGGGGGATGCAGCCCAAAGCCCAACCCTCGAGGCCGCTGCCCCCGCCGACTCCGCCTTTCTTCCTGCTCCGCTCCCACTGAGACCCACAGTCTCTCTTGGGACAACTAGGGCTGCGATTCCAAAGAAGGGGGAGGGCTAAGGAAACGATCCCAGGGAGGGTAAGTGAGAAAGGGGAGTAAGTGGGGGGACGTTGAGAAAGACTTCAGGACCTAAAGAGAATTGCCTCTGAGCTTAATTAAATTGATACAATGCAAATGAAATGCAACCCAACTACTGTTACTATTTTTGAATCACCAACTTGGGAAACGAGTTGTAGCAGGGCCAAGACAGTGGGTTACACCCCCACCCCCACGCCCCTGCTTGAGCCTGAGTGGGAGGTGTTGGGGGAGGGGGTTGCTGAGTCGGCTAAAGCTTTTGAGTACTGACACTCCCTCTGCCTTCACTCAAGCCTCTGCCAACCGAGGTGAGGTGGGAAAGCTGCCAGGTGAGGAGGGGCGGGGTTCCTTAGGAGTCAGTGTGTAAGAAAGGACTTTCTAACAACCCTAGCGCTATCCAGTAATGGCTGCTTTAGCAAGTACCTAGTTCCCAAGCGTGTGAAATGTGCAGGGTGATGCTGTCCCAAACTGTGTGTGTGTGTGGGTCCGGTCTGGAGGCAGGGATAGGAAGCAAGAGATTCTAGTTTGGGGTGGGTTTTGGACCTCTTCTAAAAGTCCTGCAATGGAAAGAAAAACACTAATTAAAAAGTCCAGTCTGCTGGTGTGTTAGCTGCACTCCAGAGGCTGGGGGAGGGAGGGCCTGGGGGGGGGATCAAGAGCGATATCCTGCCTAAGAAGAAAAGAAAAGGAAAGAAAAAGTTGAGTTACAATTTTTTCACCTAGGATTAAAAACAGGGGGAGGGGGGAGTGCTCAATTTGCAAATTTCCAGAGAGGAGTTATTGGGTATGTAGGGAGTTGAGGGAGGGGGGGTGGTGGTGCTTGTGCGGTTCATTTCCCCTGGGGACCAAGTCAAAGGAAATGCGTGGAGCTTGCCAGGAAAGAGGGAGGTTAGACATCAGAAAGAACTCTCCTGCAGGCCAAGTGTCAAGGATCTTGAAGAGGAAAGGATGTTATGGTTGCGAAGTCTCTAGCCATTTTCTTCCAGTGTGAAAGTACAGACAGGATGGCTTCTAAGGAGACGGTGCACGGATTTCTGGTCTTTGCTTTGCACAATCACAAATACCAGGACTGGCTCACACGAGACAATTCTCCCAGTTTAGTATCCGGTCAGCAAAGCTATACCCGCTGCTCCAGACTGGAGTCTGGGGGCAAAAAGGGCGTGGCGTGCAGGTCCCTAGAGAGGCGTTGGCTTGAAGTCTTCTCTCGGTCCGGCCCAGCCCTGCCCAGCCTGGCTAGTCAGCGATCCTAAAGCCTCAGGCGGTAGAGATTTAAAACTTTGGCCTCTTGGAGCCAGAAGCCAGGGAAGACCGGGAAACTGCACAGATCCTCCGAGGGGCGCACGCTACCCACCGGAGCCGACCTGGAACCCTCCACCAGTGACCGCGGGAATCGCCGCTGAGTCAGCAACGCGCGCGCCCGCTGTCTCCGGCTGTAGCACGGGCCCCGCCCTGGACTCCTAGCGCCCTTGTTAACCCCTTCTTGCTCAGAAATGCAGCATGTTCGCCCTGGGAGGCCTCCGATCTGTTTTCTGAGACTACAGAATTCCCTAGCATGCCTAGCCATTCTTCCCTGAACAAGTTAATACATTGTAAATTCGCTTTTATCTGAGGTCTTTGTCCGAGGCTTCCCGGAGTTCCTTCCTCAGCTTTTTCCCTTCAAAAGTGGGTTGACTAAGATCTAAAACCGGACCCTTTTAACTCCCAAGGATGGAGAGCTGCCTCTGCAGCTGCCTCTGCAGCTGCCTCTGCAGCTAACTCTCCGGTGCAGGCGTGGGACACCTCGCGGTTGTTAAGGCGCTCTACTTTTGCAGGGATTCCAAGATGTGACAAGTAATCTCAGGGCAGTGGCCCAGCTTCCTTCCAGTTTTATGCCCTTCTTTCTCCAAACCCTAAGAGGGTTTTTAATTTGCTGCTTGGTGAACCAAGAGTTAAAACAAGAGCAAGAAGGCGGGCCTACGTGACGCCACAGGCACCCCGAGTCCGACCTCAGAAGCTGGGGCGTGGCTAACATCGCACGGCCCACTCCCTCCCCAATTTCCCCCGCCTCTCCCTGCTGTCACTCAGCCAGAAGCACATGATGCAACCCGCCGCGGTTTCAAGCGTGGGATTGGTGGCACTGGCCGGCGCCAGGCACACAGATTGGGCAGAGGAGGCTGTGACGAAACGCAGACCCTGCCCTGTAAAGAAGGGAGGAGAGAAAGAAGAGGGAAGGCGGAGGGAAGGAGGGGGGAGAGGGAGGCGGGGTCCGGGAGCTCAGCTCGCGCCCCCAGCGCGCCAGTCCCGGGGCTGCAGGGAGCGCAGCGCGCGCCGCCCGGGCCCCGGCCACCGGACGCCCTACCGGACACGACCCTCCCTGGAGCTTGGACAACCGCTTGCCACGGACACTGCCACGGGCACTGCCCCCCACAGGGCTGGACACTACAACGGACACTACTTCCCAGCTCCGGACATTGCTCCTTGCTCCCTTCCCCCGGCCCTGGACGCTTTCCCCTCCCTCTGCCGGGGCCCAGACATTGAGCCCCCAGCAGGCTCTGGCGATCGTCCTCTTGCACCCCAGCGCTGGACACGGCTTCCTCCCGGCCCCCTACTCTCCTCTTCTCGCGCCTCATCTCTGCCCGGTTCGGGTCCGAGCACCTCCAGTTTCTCCGATCCCCCGCTGCTCGGGCGACGCTGCCCGCGCCCCCCATTCCCCGACTGCTCGCCCGGATGCCTCTCCCCGGGGGATTGTGGTGGCTCCTCTGCTGCCGTCGAGGCTTCACTCTTCTGCACCGGGACTACGGGGACGGCGAGCTTAGCGGGGACGGGGACGAGGACGAGGACGACGAGACCTTTGAGCTACGGACCCCAAGTCCAGCGGGCGGCCGCAGGGTAAGTTTGGAGGGATTTAGAACCGTGTTCAATTCTTCTCACTACAACCGGTCGTCACGCCTGATCCTGCTCCGTACTCGGGCCAGACTGGAAATGTGGGGGAGATTGTTGTCTGGAAGCCAGAGCCCCGGGAGCTTCAGGGGCAAGCAGCCCTACACGGGATGTGCCTGTGGGGCCTCGCGCCGCACACAGGGCGCTGTCCACCTGCTGGGGGCCCTGAGGCAGAGGAGGCGTCACGCGTGGCCCGACCTGGCCCTGCCTCTCCCTTCCCTGCCGGGCCCGCGTCCCATCCCGTCTCCTTCCGCCTCCGCCAGAGCCAAAGAATGTGGCGAGGCCGGCTGGGCGGCTCGAACGCCTGGGTTCGCTCTGCTCACAGTTCATGAGCGCCGAGGCCAGATGCGGGAGCTCCCACCGCGGGAACCTGGGCGAGGGGAAAGAGACATCCTAGAATCGGGGTCTGCATCGGGGACCCCACAAAGAAAAAGCTGGGGACGATGGCCCTTTGAGGACTTCTCATTATCCTGCCACTTAGGACAGAAATCTCTGCCTTCTCTGGTGAGGCTCCTGGAAATCCCGAGGGAATGGTGAGGGTCTCTTGGCTGCTGGTTGGTTTTTTTTTTTTCATCGAATCTCCCTGGGAGATACTGAGGCACCATTGGTGGTAAGACCTCCATTCCTCGAGGAGCCCTCCCTCATGCCCTTACCCACCAGAGGCAACCAGACCTGTGTGTGCTGTGGCCTGGGTCAGGCTCCCATCCCCCGGCTCAGGGGTCCCCAGCAAGCCCCGTGGCTCCATTCCTGGGTGGGGCGGGCTGCACCGCAGCCAGCGTTCGGCGCCAGCACCTGGCGAGGCAGAGGGCAGATAAATATAGAGAGGAGGAGGAGGGAAGCCGGGGGAGGCAGGGGACTGCGATTAGGGGAGTTGGTCTAGGGGGAGACCAGTACCTGCCCTCTGGTGGTGTGGTGGATAGCCCCCCCCCCCCGAACCTCCAGAAAAGAAATGGGTGGACTCCCAGGGCTAGGAGTCCTCAAGCTTCCAGCATGGGCAGGTTCTCTGTCAAACAGGCCATGGCCTCCCTTCTGCCCCACCTCCACCCCCTCCTCGGAGCTTGGGGACAGGTGTCCCTGGTCCTCCTTTTCCCTCCCCCCATCCTGGCATAAGCAGTCTGGGCGCAATGGGACCATGGCACAGTTCCTGTCTAGCTAGCTTGGCTCTGAGTTGGTTTTAAGGCCTCCCTCAGACCCCAGGCTACAATTGAAGTTCCTAGGCAGGGGTTGAAAGTGGATTGTGTATGAGAAGGGCAAAATTCCAAATTACCCCTGGCCCGAGGAGTATGGGCTTAGCAGCCTCCTGCCCTCCTGAGCCCTAGCAAAGGGGCAGCTGTCACCTTCCTCAGGGTTGTCTGCAAAAGAACACACAAAGCTCTTGGACAAAGTCCTATGCAAAAGGGTCCCTCTTCCCTTCATTAATCTCTGTACCCACCCCTCACCCCGTCTTGGGTCTTCCTCTTCCATGGAGGTTCAGAGCAAAGCAAGAAGGGAGAACGAGAATGTTGAAGAGGCTTCCACGGGGAGAAGGGATTTCATCACTTTTCCAGTTTCAAAGATGGAGTTAGAAGGCCCAGGGATGGGAGGGGACTTGCGCAAGGTATGGCAGTTGCTTAGTGGTCCAGCCAGTATTGGAACCCAGGTCTCCTGACTCCCAGCTCCCTCACCACCCCCCCCCATCACTCATATGATTGCATTTTCTAAGGGCAACGGAGATAAGCCTAGAGCTTCGGCTCTTAGCTCTCAGGCATTCTGCAGTGGTCCACAGAGACCTGTAGAAGGGACGATCCCAGAGTAGCTCTGGCACTTCCTGCCTACTCACGACCCCCGACTGGGGCACTCCTTCCTCAACCCTCCAATGAGAGCTGGCCTGGCCTCAAGCGAAAAGACTGTTGTTGAGGGGAAAGGACTCTGAGTGTCTTCCTGCCTGTCTCCCCAGGGTTCCCTGGACGTTACGCTGACTCAACCGACAAGGAGCGGGCCGGTCTCAGACAGGTGAGCTTCCTCCAAGTCCCTTAGTTCGGAGACCGCAGCTGGTTCTCAGGACCCCCTTCCTCACCATCTTCCCTCCCCGGGTTGTGCAATAAGGGAGAGGCTCTGTGCCGCCGGACGCTGTGGTTTGGCTGGGGTCCCGGGGGGCGGTCCGGCCGGGGGCGCGGGGAGGAAGGGGGGGTCCTAGTTATTTCTGGTGCAAGGTCAGAACGGCCCCGCGGTTCCCACAGCCTGGAGGATGGGTGCCCAGCTTGGGAGCTTGTACCCCTCGCAGTCTGGGGAGCCCCTAATAAGGAGCCCCGTGGAGGCGGAATGGAGGCTCCTCAGCCTTGCCCAACTTTCCATCTCTGGCCCAGGCTGCAGAGCTGGGAAGAGACCTGGAGCCTCATCCCAGACAAGGGACTGCCGGAGGACGATCCTGACGTCGTTGTAAAAGGTGGGGACCCCTGGACTCAATCTGGAGACCCCCAAACACAGCTCTCCAAGGAATACTGTGTCTTCTGGTTAATCTTTCTTCCCGGTCTCCTCCCAGGTTGGCTGTATAGGGAGCCCCGCGGGGGAGGGGTGCGGCCATGGCTGCTTCCGCGCCGAGCCTGGTTTGTGCTCACCAGAGATTCCCTGGATCAGTTCAGCAGCAGCGGGAAGGGGGCAAGGCGCCTCGGAAGCCTGGTCCTCACGAGCCTGTGTTCGGTGACTGGGCCGGAGCGCAGGCCCAAGGAGACCGGTGAGACATCTCGAGAATCTCCCTACCTTCCTGGCAGGGGCCCCAACAATCCCTGATTGCCCTCTGTGGCCTCTCTTTCCACCAGGTCTGTGGTCAGTCACTGTGTCTGGCCGGAAACACAGCATCCGCCTCTGCTCTCCGCGCCAGGCAGAGGCAGAGCGCTGGGGGGTGGCACTTCGTGAAGTGATTGCTTCCAAGGCCCCACTGGAGACCCCTACCCAACTACTGCTCAGGGACATACAGGTGAGAGAGTTCTCCAGTAAGAAGCAAGAGGGTGGTGGGCCTAATCGCTTTCTGGGCTCATGGAGAGCTCCCTTCCCTCATCAAGGTGACCCTCTTCCCGACCTCTAGGAGAGTTGTGGGGACCCAGAGGCAGTGGCCCTCATCTACCGGCGGAACCCTATTCTAAGGCACACCAGTAGTGCCTTGTATGCCCCACTCCTGCCCCTGCCCTATGGAGTCAGCGCTCCAGGTGAGTGAGTGAACCCTGGTCAAGTCTCCTTGAGGGATGGGGTGGACTTGCTGTAAGAACCTGAGTAGGCTAGCTGCCAGGGACGCGTTTTCAGGGTTCTATCCATCTCCTGGCTTCTCTTGGTCATATGAGTGTATATGGGTGAACCTGGAAGCAGTCTAGGTTGGAGGGTAGCAAAACCAGAACAGAATAAAAACTCTGTCTCCTTTGCCCACCTCTAAGGATCTCATTCTGGCTTAATTCCTTCAGAAGCATTTGCACTTTCCTATTTTCTTCATTATATTCTTAAGACTAGGACATATCACCTTTCCAGGTAGGGGAAAACCATTTCAGGGAGACATTGTGCTAGCCTCATCCAGGTATACTTCTCCCCACAAGGGGAGTACTGACTGGCCCAAGTCCTATATCTAGAGGCTTAAAGGATGCCAGGAAACGAACCCTCGTTTGCGTACCCAGAGAAGCTTTTGGGGGGAGGGAGGTGCTCACCGTGATAGGTACCC